TGGTTGCCAAGTGCTCAATATGTTTCAAGCACCAGAGAGAAAATCAGAAGGAGCCCTTATTACCTCACGAAGTGCCTCAGAGGCCATGGCAAAAACTTGGTGCAGACATATTTGAATTGAACTCTAACTCCTATTTGGTTGTCGTTGACTATTACTCTAAGTATTCTGAACTTTGTCTTTTAAAAGACAAGACTGCTGGTTCTGTTATAACTAGCATGAAATCCATGTTTTCCCGTCACGGGATTCCCGATCAGGTTGTTGTTGATAACATGCTCTTCTCAACCAAAAGTTCTCGTCAGTTTGCAAGGGATTGGGTTTTCGCAGTCTGTACCTCGAGTCCTAGATACCCACAGTCTAATGGGATGAGTGAAAGAGCAATTCAAACCATTAAGAACCTGTTAAGGAAAGCGTTTGAAGATGGAAATGACCCCTACATAGCTCTACTTCAATACAGAAACACTGCTTTTTCTGGACTAAAGGAATCACCCGCACAGCTGTTAATGAGCAGAATGCTGAAATCTAAATTGCCTACGTCCTCGGCCCTTCTAAAACTGAGAGTCGTTGAGAAAGCACAAGAGAAGCTGAGAGAACGGAGTGATAGGCAGAAGGTGTACTATTATCGGAATGCGAAACCGTTGCCTCAGATCAAGGAAGATGACACAGTTCGAATAAGGAAAAGAAAGACTTGGGAGCCAGCCATTGTATCTGAAAAACATACAGCGCCAAGATTTTTCATAGTCACAACACTTGATGGCTCTGCCTACCGACGAAACCGTCGTCACCTGCTGGCAACAAATGAGGCCTCGCCGGTGATCACAGGTCCAGCCTATGATGACCCAGTTGCACCTGTTGCTGCCACACCCGCAGTTGATATTACACCCCCAGTGGCTGCTAGGAATGCTGAGTTACCTGCTGCAGGTTTAACCAATGGCAGAAGTCATTTGCAGACACCTATAAAGTGTACTTCCATTGGCCGGACTGTCAGATTACCAGCAAGATTTCGACAGGATTATATCATGAACTGAACCATGTATAGAACCATGTATAGACAAGAACCAGACAGTTGAGTAATGTTTGCTATTAACGTTATCAGCTATATGTATTACCCCTTACAGATGTACAGAAGGGATGTCTGTTTGATTATGAACTTGTTCCAGTTAACACTTTCTATACATAAGACTTTAGTGACAGCCTTCACATTCAGAACAGTTAATTTTGAGTACATGCAGTTTCCACAAATGTTGTCACTTGGAAGATAAGTTTGTCTTTTCTCCTTCAAAGGGAAGATGTCATGATTATGTTCATTAGAATAATTTAGCATACATTAGTATTCAACGTGGTTATGTAAAATCACTGATCCATTATTAAATGCTGAGTCTAAACTTGGCGCTTGTGTGCGTGCTGCGTTGGTGACTAAACATTTCAATAACGTTTATCAGCGGGCTAGCCGATGACATTAAACTGAAAGTGCTTTGTACTCTACTGCTGCAAAACGGGCTTAAATTACATGTACTATCACGCAAGATTAATGTGATTCAGGAGCTCCTTAACTTCACTATTCTTGTTTCAGTGGAAAATTGTACTTATTTATTCACCATTCTTTTCAAACTCCTGACGTTTCAAGAAGCCTATGATTGTGTTCATTAACCGGAGCTAATAAAGTGAGTAAAATATTAAATATAGGCTGCATTTAACATGATAGAAACAAACAAACAAAAAAACAAACAAACAAAACACCTGTTACAAAACATACCTATTTCAAAATAAAGATACTAAAGTGTAGGCTAGGAGTTGAGCTTGGGACTTTAACTGGGAAAAAGCAACACGGCTACTGTACTACATGCAACTTATGATTTGCATGATTTTGCATGATTTGTAAAGTAAACTTGTCGAACACAAAAAATTCGGCTTGATTTTTTATTTTGGCCTCCCTTTTAGACAACGGAATGCAGCCCCTAAATTACAAATGTGTAAATTGGCTAATCTACTGTGATCAAAAGCTTTTGTAGCTCTTGACTCATCGAAGATGATGCTATTTTTTGAGTGTACATATAAGCTTAAGGCTATTAACTCGATGTAAGATTTGTTTCTCTCTTGCACTGTTTGCAAATTATTTTTCCTTAAAATCATTTAGCTTTTCCCTCAAAAGTCACATGAATGTGCCCTAATGTGTTTGATTTAAATTGTAAATTTATTAATGGGAGCTTCACTTTTAGCCCCGGCTAAATCTATTTATTAGAATAATAATTCACATTTCAAGTGGAGTTGTGATAAAGTGTTACATACCGTATGTTTTTAAGGGTACACATACGGTTCCACTGAATTTTACAATAATCAGCTGAATAATCGCGCTACCGTTGCCACTTGATAAAGTATTTTAGAACTTTCATGTATTCGATCTAATGTAGAACCAATTAAATTCCAAGATTTCTTTTCAAGGAGATACTCGTGCATTTAAAGGCTTTTTTACTTCTTCTATCAAACTGTACGACTTCAAGTCTAAAATATTTTCAATATGGAGCCCAATCGCATTAAACTTGTCAAAAAGATATCGAATAACAACGGCTGCGAAAGCGACACTGCAACTAGCCAACAAGGACATGTCAGGTAAAATGCTTTTAACTTTACTAGAAGAACGTTTCCTAGGAGCTTCAGTTTATATAAAAGAAAAAATTGATAAACTGTAAAATTCCGTCGTGATTGCAACCGATGAGGTATATCAGCTATAACAAGTTTTGAGAATTCGCTAATTTGCTGGGGTTCTTTTGCTCAAGTATAGTTCTCTTCTGACATATTATCTTATCCACTATAGGATTTTTGAAATGGCAGTGCATGTTCTTCTCACTATTTGTTGCTTCTTCTGGACGACTTCTATTAAAAGTACCAACTCCACGTCGAGAAAGGAGCTCTACATTGGAGCATTTTTTGCTGTAAACATTACTGATGGTTGGAGTACGGCTGGTGTTATACCAGCTTTTGAAATGGCGCTTCATCACGTGAACAATAACCCAAACATCCTCACAGACTACGAGCTTAAGTACGTTTGGCGTGATTCCAAGGTAACTACCCAGTTGCTTAGTAAATAATTTGCCCATATAAGAATGGACTTAAATGTTGACACCTAAAATGTTGACACCTAAATGTTGACATTTACATTTTAACACTTGAATTTTGAAATCTTACTTAAGGTCCAAAATTTATTGCGTTTTCACTGACTATCTAAGTCTATCTAAGTGGACGCAAACAGTATGTACATATGAATGGCCGTCATTCCTCCCCAAGAACTGTGTCGGTTGGAGTACCGCAAGGGAACATTTTGGGCCCCATTTTATTTCTCCTGTTTATCAACGATCTGCCATCGGCGGCGCAGCATCCTATCGTAGACATCTATGCCGATGACACTACTCTCAGTTTATCATCAGACATGACTAATGGACTTACTGCCATGTCATCAGCCCTTCAACAGGACTTAGATGACGTCTCGCGGTGGTGAACAAAATGGTTACAAACGCTGCAAAGACGAAATGTCTCCTTGTTATAGGGAAACGTATACCATGCAAGCTTGACGAGTGTTCACTGGAACTCAAACTTGTTAACTCTGAAATAGAACAGGTTGATAGTAAGAAAATCTTAGGGGTTACTATTGGCAAACACTTAAGCTTTGATGTACACATTGAGGAACTGTGTAAGAAGTTATCCCAGAGAACAGCTGTTCTTAGAAAGATAAGGAGATCCATCCCTATTGAACAGCGCATACTTTACTACAATGCTATAATCAAAAAAATAATGCTGTATGAGTCAACTATTTGGTCAAACTGCTCAGCTGATAACTTAACCAGAATCCTCAAGCTGCAAAAACGTGCTGTCCGAGTAATTTTAGGAGCTGACACAAGATCAAATCGCGTAAATCTCTTTAACAAATTAGAGTGGCTCCCATTTTATGACGAAGCTGAAGTTAATAAGTGTTCGCTAGTCCTTAAGCGCCTAAAAGGAAACTGTCCCAGCTACATGTATGACCTTCTTAAATTGAATGCAGATTTACACACACGCAGTGGGAGCTACAGTGCCTTAAAGCTCGTGTGCCCCCGATATAATCGTGAATCTGAGCTGAGGGAGGGAGAACTTTTAGCGTGTCCGCGACCAGGCTCTGGAACTCTCTACCCATTAACCTCAAGGAAGGAAAATGTGTAACCTCATTTAGAAAGGCTCTTTACAGTCATTTTTTAACGAGATACAATGACGTTGACCAGTGGCATCTTAAAGTCCTTATTCCCACGCTCACTGCTCGGGGAGGGACACACCTACAAAGTAGCTGCATGTATGAGTCACGCGTCGAGAAGGACCGAATATTTTGTGTATGTTAACCAAATTTGACCCATCGCAAGAACGCCTTTGATATGGAAATATTGTCAAAGCGAACAACCTGTGGAAAATTTGGATGTGAGAAGTTCGAGATATCCTTATTCAAAGAAAGCGACTTATAGGGTTTTAGCTTGAGCTTTGGATTATTAATTTTCTAACCCAAGTTTTTGCGAAAAAGGGAAAGGGATACCTCTCACAAGGGGGAGACATGGGCACCCCAGGACCCCCCTTCCCAGCTAGCTACGACTCTGCAATTTTCAGAGAAATGAATAGGTTGTCCACTTTATTGATGGACGAGGGCTGTTTTAAATGGGTATCCTTAGTGAAACATTAAATTCTGCAAGCAGAACACTGTAATGCTGATCGTACTACGTGAAAATTAACTTTGCAAGACATCAACACGACACCGAAAGAACCCAAAACAGAGCGAGATTGTAACTATAGACAGCTGTTTCCTTACTGAAAGACGTCTTTTAAAATTATATATATGCACAGCAACTTAAGGCATTGGGTTAAAATACTTCTTTTGGATTTTGAAGTAGCAGTAAATCTTGGTGACACTGTCTTTTTGAACATGGGCAGAATTTGTATCTTCTACCTTTCTTTTTTAGTGTGAAAGTGGAGTGGCCATCCGAGCTATGTTAGACTTGATCAACACACCACCGCACAAGATCGTTTTCTTGGGACCTGGATGCTCGATAGCAACCACGCCTATTGCCGAAGCCGCGCCTTACTGGCAAGCAGTGCAAGTAAGTGGTCGTAACAAATCAAACAAAATAATAAGCAAACAAATGAAAAAAAAAATGGAAATAAAACAAAGAATAAAAAAAATGAAAAAAGTGAGCTGTAGGAAAAAGGCAACAAAAAGAAAACAACCTCAACACAACAAAGAGGAGTCCGTTTGTTTTTTCGCATTTTACTAGAGAGCGTAAATTAGGCGGAGGCAGCGCGCAGGTTTTTTGTCTGTCAAGGGTGTTGACACGTTTCTCTTTGTTTTCAGATTGGGTACAGCGCTACTTCACCATCGTTATCAAATAAAGAGAAGTATCCCCTTTATTTTAGAACAAGTACTTCAGAAATAATGGAAAATCCAGCTAGAGTGGCGTTACTCAAGTACTTTAAATGGAAAAGGGTAGCTGTCATTGTACAGCAAGCGGACATTTTCGAGTTGGTAATTAAAAAAGGAAGTCTAATATTCATTAGTTTGGCTGCTTTTCGTTTTTGTTTGACTGGAATAGTGAGTTGTGTCATTTTGTCAAGTTAAGTATAATCGCAAAATATAATTGCCTGTAACTTCAAAACACTGAGTCCATCTACACTGCTCGCCATAGCAAGATCGGGTTGTTGCGACCGTTAAATACTTCTACATCAGTACTTCAGTACTTCTACATCATAGCTCTTATTCTGGAGCATTCTCATTCTGGCTGGTTTTACACGCGGTAATAATTCTTGACGTCTGGTTTAATGGAGCACTTTCATGTAATGGTGGAAGTGCCTTTCTCTGCCTGTGCACTTCAATTCGATCTTTTAAGAGGAAAGCTAAGGAAAGGAAAGACCTAACCATTTTTAAATGGTTTAAAAATCTTCTTAAAATCTTTCTTAAGTCCAAGTGGAGCTAGAGTTGAGCCACAAGAAAGAATCGAAAAATTCAAGGTCATGGTTATTGAAGAAAAATGTCCTTGATTCCTGAATTTACAAGGCGGGCAAGGACACAATAATTCCTATTTTGATTCCTAAAGGTCACATTGGAGGGTGGTGCGATTAGTGGTGACATTTTATACATGTTTTTAACAACTCAACTTCTTTTGTTATGCACAGACGGTAGATGACCTTATCCCGATGCTGATGGAATCGAACGTCACTGTAATAGCAACAGAAAGCTTCCAAAACGATCCATCCTCGTCGGTTAAATATCTTCTGAAGGTAAAATGCATAACAGCAATGAATCTAGCTTTATGCATGTTTAAACTATTGTGGGAATTCTTCTTTAGCACTCTGAGCGCTCCAAAAAATTGGCCCCCTTTCACTTGCATATTTTCCGTATACATAATTAGGAAAATACAAGTGACTCGACAAATATTCATTGTATGTCACATGAAACCACTCTAGTATAACTAATTTATTTGTCTTTATTGTTGTTGCTAAGTTGCGCTAATTATAGATTTGTATCTTTAAGAAAAGAGATGCCAGGATAATTATTGGTTTGATGTATGACGGCATGTACAGAAAAGCCATGTGCACGGTAAGTAAACAGGGGCGGATCTACGGGGAGGGTGCAGGGGGTGCGAACCCCCCCGAGATGACCTGCGGTTTTCTAATACAACTGGTATTCTGCCCCCCAAAAAAACTATGTGGTTTATTGGTGTTAAAGTAGAGTAAGAGACGAGTGCAGCCCTCCTAAAAAAAATCCTGGATCCGCCCCTGGTAAAACATTTTTCGCTTTGTGAAAGTTTCGAACCCAGGAGTCATTCCATAAGTAAGCATGATCGACCGGGTGATCGTAGTCCAGAACAGGACTGTTATTGACAGTGACTGGCATTTCAACAACCTGTGCGCCAGTATCTTCGAAAGTGTTGCATTGTCGCGCGGACGCGGTCGCTAAGCTTGAATATTCACGTCGCGTATTACACCTGGTAGTTCGCGGTCATATCGAAGCGTAAAGGTCAACAGTGTTTGTTGATGAGCGAGCGATTCTTGTGCAGTTGCGATGGATTTTGTGGAGCAAGCGAGCAAGGAACCGGAGCACACGTTACCTGCAGATTAGCCGATGGCAATTTGGAGCGGATTCGTCTATTATTCTCCAATTTATAGCGCTTCGCGTGAAGGCGCGTGGAGATGGTCCGTTTGTTTTGTAGCCAGCCTTTAATTCTTCTTTAGTGGATAGTACCTACAATCGCAAAACTCAACAAAATGCCACTTTAACCGGCCAGGAAAGACAAGGATACGTTCCGTTAAAGGTATCTTAGCTTTATTTTGTTACATTTTGATTTTTGGACTATTTTAGTTCATTGGAGTTTCGACGACTCATCGCATTAATTTGTCCATGTGAATATTAATATATTCATTCAGTGACATACTACGTCTGGGTCGCCTGTGGGTCATTGCACGCGTGCTGAACAAGAATGCTGTATAATGACGGACTAGAAACAATAGACAACTCCCAAAGCACAAACTCAGCCAAAACGCTAAAAATCTTCAATGTTTACTCAAGTTTGGGCTTATAGAAGATAATGTCACAGTTTTTCAATGACCATGAAATTCGGAGTCCGGGTAGTTAGTTAATCAATTGTGGCCCTGAAAAAATTTGAAGGAAAAAAACTACGAAGTTTTAAGAAAATGCTTTTTTCGTGAGAAGGACTCTTAAACGCTGACAAACGTCAACAAATAGCGAAAACTATAATTTCTATATGTTTGCTTTGCTCGAAATCGCGCGCATTTACAAGGCCCTAAAGCGTTTTCCTGACTTGTAAGGACCCATCTGTTGTAACGAAGCCCAAAATAAAGAGATGAATTTCATAGTTTATTAGATATAATCCGTGTGAAGTTTGCTTATCGTTTTCGCATAAATTATGACCTAAATTTGGAAACCGCTGAATTTCTCGAATTGGGTCTTTGCGATTTTGGTGAAACTCTGTTCAGCGCAAGGCACTAATGCGCACTATGTGTAGCCGAGAGATTTTCACGAAAAAATGCCGGCAACAGCAGATTTTCGACTCAGACCTCAAAGGGGCGTGGCATTATAATCACGTGACATTTACTCCGATCACCAAAAATTTTATGTTATATTGTAGATTGATCTATATGTTATCCATTCTATGTGTTAGACTTACGATAAAAGTAAAGGCGGGGATACCAGAGAGCCTCAAAGTAGGATGGTACACCCCCCAAAAAACTGGGTCGAGTCACCTTAATTATTCGGTAAGTTCTTGAGACAACATTGGTCCGAAATGTGTATAGATTTTTTAAATAAAGCTGAGTTAAAGTATTAAGTGTCAAAAAGTCCACAAAGCGGTAAAAAATACAACAAAAGTCACGAGTAACCTATTCCGTGTTCTGAATTTTACGCAGCGATTTATGCGATTTAACGAATTGACAATTTTTAATCCAACGATACCCACCCGAGACTGTGTTAGTTTAAGAGTCCATAGAACTTCTCAGACGTTTCCTCGGAAAGACCTCCAGAAGGAAATGAATGAAAAATTTGAACTTATAACTGAGACAATTTCACTTGCCGCAACGGCAAAACGAAAACAACTGTCGAACTGCCACAGGCAAACTAGCTTTCAGTGGAGTCATGCAAAGCATGTCACGTCACGTAATTCTGCCCCGTGCATTTGGGAAGGAGGGAAGAAATTCTTCCATGCTGTGCGCTAAAACATTTATGAAAAAAAAAAACAAGCTTTGGAATGTGTCTTTTGCGACTAGTTAAAGAAAAGAATAACTTTTTCCCCTGTTTTTGCTCGAGGGGCGCTGTGCACTTCTTTTATTTTATCTGCTGTTTATAATGATTGTGTTTCACGTTCAGAACGTGCATCTATCTAGCAATTAATGCTGTAGAAAAGATATGAAAGGGCACCAAAGCAGTGGCGAATCCAGGGGGAGGGTACGGGGGGTCCGGACCCCCCATCAGACCCGATACCTGATTGAGAGTAAAATCCTTACAACGATAGGATTGCATGTCACTGTTTAACTGGCTTAATTTTTTTAATGAAACGCGTGTTGTAATTTTCCACTAAACTAAATTCCAGGGATATTAAAAAATGTGATTGTAATTGGTTACCCTTCAATGATCCGTTCGCTTCTGCTCGCAAAGCAGTATTTCCCGCGCCAGTGGCGACTGGTTTTCACAAATTGAGAAACACGTAGTCGTCTCTGCCTTCTCATTGACTAGTGGGAGGGGGTGTGGGGGAAAAGTAATTTGCTACAAAAAAGTTCAACAGTCCTTTCTGAACCAAAATTTGGACCTTCTTCCCCCACCGCCCCAATGAAAAATTCCTGGATCTCCCCCTGGCAAAGATGTTACTCGGAGTTCGCAGCCAATCAAGGCTTATGCTGGCGCGTGCAAGTAAATCAATTTTTTTCGAGTTAAGAGGATCACCTGAAGGACGAAAAACAGTATAATTTTATTTATGTAATATCAAAATTGTGCCTTATCATGTGTATCCTAGAGGAACAAGAGACATATTTGTTGAGAGCCTTTCTAATCATTCGGTTTCCTGTGGTTCGGTGGTTCCTTGCGTTGAAACATCGAGACTAAAAGCCAACAACAGGGAATGAGCTCTTCGGAAGCCAATGAACTAGTGGCCACATTTGGATCTCAAAAAAAGATTTGGACAGGTTGAAAGGACAAAATCGAAGGAAGTGATCGGCGAAAAGAGAAAAGAAAGCCAGTACAAACAAACGATAACATATGATATCATTTTTTCCGATTTTAGTCCGTTTGGAACACGAACCTTTGTTGTGGGCTGATACTGTGGGGTCGTTACCAAAACTGAATTTAAAACTAAAGTACATAATTATAAACATAATCAGTGATTACAAAGGTAGTCTAATAAACCTGAACTGACGCAAGTAAGGAACCAAAAATAACGACCTGGCCCTGGTTGATCAAACGACCGATCATTTTTCTAACGGATACCGTGTGGAACGACATTTTTGGGGGAGTTTATTTTTGCGGATTAGCGGTTTTTTGTGTTTTGTGAGAACTAATTTTGCGATTAGGACAGACTGGTTTTTCTTGCTGGAGATCAATTTTTGCGATTTCAGAAAGTGCCCAGTACCTAGCACTGATAATATTTTTTGTCGTTTTTATTGAGTACGTGCAATAGAAATACATATTTTCAAACAATACTAAGTGTGCGTCAGTATTTTTCTGGAAAAAAGAGACCTGCTGTGATTGAAAGGCACGATTTCTTGGTACTGTATTCTTGTGTAGTGAATTTAAGTTAGAGCATACAGTATTTCCTCTGGAGTAAGTTTTTGCGGGAAAAATTTGTGCGGTAATTTTTATTTGCGGGAACTTATTTTTGCAAAGTAATGACAGTCACGAAATTCAGCCGTGAGTGAAATAGTGAAAATGACAAGAAGACACAGGGGAAAAAATAATAACAGATCAGTCCACCAGTCCATTGGGTTTAAAATTGTTTAGCCTGGTGCTTTTGTGTAAGCGAACGGGAATGACACATTTATTTGTTCTGGAGGGATGAATGTTTTTTAAAAGCACGGTTCATAGCAAAAATTTGCCAAAACTTTAACCGAGAGCCATTGCTAGATTCTATGGCATTTTTTCTCTTTCCTTTTTTTTCTAGTTCTGTTTGGTCACATGAACCGTGATGTCAGCTTTTTAAGTGAAGATAAGCATGTTTAGGCTGTTGTGGACATGTCTCATATTATCTCAGTCGTGACTGATGAAAGGGTATGTTCCTTTCGGTGAATCCAAAAACGGATTTTAGATCTAAGAACGGATTTCGTGTTCCTTTCGCCAAATCCAAATCCGGATTTTTGATCTGGTGAATCCTTTTTGAAAAAGGATTCATTAGATTTGAAATCCGAAGAATCCAAATCCAGATTAACGGATTAGTGATCTACGCTGTTCCATTCACAGTGGATCCGAAATTAGTCAGATGATCCAGCGGTATTTCCAGTTGAAGTATTCCCATAGAGGCCGTAGAGTTTCCTCGTTGCTGTCATTTGTCGCAAAACATCTGAAAACACTAGACGATTGTCCCTGGTACGTTAAAATATCCATATACTAACCATTTGTCTCTAAAAATTGCTTGAAATAAGAAACAAGTACAAGTAACAAATGAACTGCTATCTAACTACAAACTCGCTTGTAGACGCGACAGGCACTCGATCGTGTTACATAAAAATATCCGAGCTATGGAACTGGATCAACTAGATAATTTTCAATTTTAATGCGCTTCTTTCTTTGTCTGTTTTATATGTTTCATCGTCGCTATTCGAACTGCCGACCACTATATTCTGCACGGTATAATCGCATAATTTGTCAAACAGTAGAAAACACGTCATTTCTTGAGAGGCTGTCGTGCATATTGCACGCGTTGGCGAAAGGTTACCAAGGTTACAAATCCAATTTCGGATTTCACGTTCCTTTCGACCGCGAAATCTGGCAAATCTAGGATCCAAAATCCGTTTTTGGATTCGCCGAAAGGAACACACCCTTTATTACACTTGGGTTCAAATGTTATTACGGATAGACCTTTTTTACACTTGGGTCCAGTTATTACATTTGTGCCTTCCACAAGTTCCACTGACAAGAAATCCGGATCCCAGAAGTGAATTTGGCCTAAGAGGCAACCAAACAGTTAGCCTCCTTGATGGCATTTTCAGGGGAGTCATATTTTCCCATTTATACCAGTCTGTAAATAAAGCGAAGGTCAAATGAGAAAATTGAGGCTAACGTTGTTGAGATCAAAGATGAAAAAAAAATTCCCATTTTTCGTTTGTGGGGATGCTCATCAAGTCCAAGATTATATCGGCGGAAGAGGCACCTTTGCCCTCAAGCGAGGACAAAGATGAAACAGTCCAAATCTAGTTTTATTTCATAAATGTTTTAGGACACAGCATGGAAGAATTTCTTCCCTCCTTCCCAAATGCGCGGGGCAGAATTACGTGACGTGAAATGCTTTGCATGACTCCACTGAAAGCTGGTTTGCCTGTGGCAGTTCGACAGTTGTTTTCGTTCATTGCCGTGGCGGCAAGTGAAATTGTTATAGTTATAAGTTCAAATTCTTCATTCATTTCCTTCTGGAGGTCTTTCCGAGGAATCGTCTTAGAAGTTCTATGGACTCTTAAACTAACATAGTCTCAGGTGGGTATCGTGGGATTAAAAATTGTTAATTCGTTAAATCGCATAAATCGCTGCGTAAAATTCAGAACACGGAACAGATTACTCGTGACTTTTTGATGTATTTTTTACCGCTTTGTGGACTTTTTGACACTTAATACTTTAACTGAGCTTTATTTAAAAAATCTATACACATTTCGGACCAATATTGTCTCAAGAACTTACCGAATAATTAAAGGTTTGGCGCCTACCGTAATTCGCATTTGGTTGTGCTTCGGTCGGAGGTCACGTTCTTTGGCCCGTTTTTAGTGTAATATTTACATTTGCTTGGCTTTGTCAGCGCTCGTGATTTCATTTACCCAAAAATTTTATTTCGCTAATTTGAAGAAAAAAGAATGCTCTTTCAGAATAAACAAGCCTTGGTGTTCAAAGCCATGTACCAATCCGCTTTTTTAGCTCGTGAAAAAGTGCTAAATGTTGACGGTTGATTAATCTATTTTGAGTCAACAACTTTGAAAATTTCTTTAAAAATCTCTTGTTGACCAAATCGCGAACTAATCAGTTAAAATTATACAGGAAAGATAGTAAAAATCCGAAGTGTTATTATATTTTAGTTGTCAACTTTATTTTAAAATTTACGATTTACTGAATATGACTCTAATTTCGCATGATTTTTGCCCATTGTAGGCCTCGGGAAGAAAAAAATTCGTCAAAAAAATATCATTCACTCGATCGTACTTAAACCAACGATTTTGTAACTAGGGCCCATAGGGCTTTATTCTGGCTGAGTTTGAGGCCAGGTCATTTTTGGACTATTTCCACGTCTAGTTGATATTTACGCGGAGTCGCTCTATAAGCTTATAATGAAACCTGATACTCGGTCAGATCATTGTCTCAAATCTGAAAAACGTGCGTAAACAAATAGCCGCATAAACTACGCTCTACTTCATTAAATTAGATATAAAAAACGAACGTCAAATACAATAACTACTCAGGCTTACCATTCGAGATGCACTGAAAACTATCAAGTAAGGCCGGAATCGCTTCAGACTTTTCAACCCTCTTACGCGTCAAGCAAGGTGATCAACGAAAACGATGCCATTCCGAAATCGGATATCCGACTTTGACAAGCGAAGTATTTCTAAACCAAAAACCCAATAAACAAACTAGCCATGAATAACAGAAGACTCTTGATAGCAGCTGAATTTCACTTTGTACACTCAGTGGAAAAAGACAGTTAAAAACATCACAAGTTGACACAAAACTCTGTCAGTTTCAGCTGTCAAAGTAGACAAGTTTCAAGATGAATGCCGCATAAATTTTTCTGCATGAACTCACCTGTCAAATCTTGACCAATCATAGCATAATTATTGGAGGTAGAGCGTGACCAACGCGTGACCTTGGTGAGAAAAGTCAAAAGCAACTGGCATGACTTCCCTGCCTGTAAATACTGGCTGAATTTTAGCTTCCGAGGTCAGTTTGAAATCAAAAATTTAATTGTGCGGCACATATAAAACACAACATATTTCATATGAATTTAAAAATATTAACCTTGAGCCTGCGATCATTTGAAAACTAGTAACTTGTTAGCGGATAACTTCAAAAAGATACTCGACCTCGATGGGTCGACACCTGAGCCCGCGATACGGTCAGGTGATACTGGTCAGCGCTATCCTGTTTTGACAGCTGTCAATTGATCACGACATTGATGTGCAATATGTGTGCAATATCAGTCTTCCTGTGCTCCCAAACTAGCTAGAAAGTGTGAGATTGAACATTGGTTGCCCTGTGGTGCGGACGGACGGTCTCTCGGTCGGGCGGTCGGTGTACGGTCACATGATTACCAAACTTTCTCGGATGGGTGGTTTACTTCATTTTCTTACCTATGGAGCTCCGCTGCGTGCGCTTCGCGCGCGGGAGCTCCTCTAAAATTAACGAGCATTTAAACGCAACAATTGCTTTGAATCATTTTCATGTATAATTAATTTGTTATTATAATCTGACGTGAGAGCCTCTGAGCAATTGCAGTGTCTCACCGTAGGACAGATGAAATATCATGCGTTAAGAACTGATATTTTCCAATATATGTCCCACGACTGTGTAAATTGTAATAAATTAACGACAGAGGGAATCACCATCTTTTTTCTATAGTTTAAATTTATGTTGTATTGCCGGGACCTGGCTGCCTGGATGTCTCACCTAAAAAGTTGACTTTCTCCTAGGCTTATAGAGAGCAGCTTTATGGAAACAGATACGTATGGATCATTGTTGGATGGTATCAAGATGACTGGTGGACAATAAAAGATGTGGAATGTAAAGGGAAACAGCTAAAAAAAGCCGCTACAAACGTGATTGAAACTCGTCCAATTTTGCTCAGTATGTCACGTGAATCTACAATATCTGGTAAGGTAAGTGCTTTTGGAATAATGAACACTCCTTCACTTTTCTCCGACCATTTTCATTCACTCGATGGAGTTTGCTCAACAGCTAATGGACAAAAGGACTAATGAACTAGCGATGGTGGTGAAAGACATTCGTGCGTTAAGGGACTCATTCGAGCCCTGATTGAATGAAGTGTGATGGAAATTTGCATGGACCGAGATTAAAAACTCTAGTGTTAAAAAATATAAGTCAGAACAGTTTAGAACTTGGAAGGACTTGGACAGAGACAATTTTCGTTTATTCGATTAATAGTTTTTGAATTCGCTTGGTAGTTTTTTTGTGAATTTGAATTCGGTCAAATTGTAAAATTCGTAGCTAAGAATTTGTGTACAATTTTTGAATATAGTCCATTCTCGTGAACAGCTTCTTGCCTTGTAAGTGTGTCCTTACTGCACTAAAACCACTGCCTGTTTTGGTTGCAAAGGATACATGTTGTGGTTCAATTTTATCCTCGGTTCAAATTATGTTCCTTTGTTGTAAACGTTTTGCCATACACCACCTTACTCGAAAACAACGGGAAAAATATTTTGAACCATGGATAAAATTAAAATACATCATGTATGGGGGTATCGTCGCTTTGAAGTTTATTTTGTTTGTTTCAAACTGAGCCTGATCATATCCAAGGAAAACAAATTGAACCACAGCATACCCAACACATTTATGATCAGGACGGAAGAAGGGAAGGTAGGAAGGATTGAAGGTAGTCGCAACAACAAGATTGATTAGAAGCTGCTATATTATAGCCCCTAGTCGTTTAAAACATATTCAGCGAATAACTAGTATCGCACAGGACAACGCAATTGGTTGCCCTAACAATGCCCTAAAACTGATTCACTGGATATAGTGATTTATTCGATGGGTAGCACTATCCAACTTTTTAAAATGACAACTGGTGCCAGATATCGGGTAGATATTGATCTGTGGCTCAAAAATGATGAAGAAAAAAAGTATTAGAATTACATTTCAGACTCCTAGACAACTAGACGCAGAGTACAAAGAGCGTCTTGAGCGTTTGAACATCAGCCACCACCTTTGGTCTTCTTTCACTTATGATGCTGCCTGGAGCATAGCTCTAATGTTGAACAAATCTATTCCACTGCTGCGAGAAAAGAACAAAACGCTGGAAGGTATGGATTACGGCGATGCAGATGGTGCTAAGATGATGAGAGACATCCTGTTTCGAACAGACTTCTGGGGCATGTCGGTATGTTAACGTATTTGTGGAACCATGATTATATCCTTATTATTCGTAAAGTTCGTAGAGGGTCCTGAAGGGGTAAAATGGAAACTGGGATTGGCCGGTTTTGGCCCTGGGAAAATGGAATTTAAGCCACTGGGACTGGGATTTGGTCACTGGGAATGGGAATAAAATGTCAAAAATGGGAATGGGATAAATAGTTTGGAACCATGACTAGTGGAGGCATCACTTATTTCCTGGAGTTAAGAAACGTCAGAAAATTGCTAATGCACCTTGTCGTAGTCAATTTTTAGCATTTTTATCTAGGTTTCCCCCGAATGGCCCCGATTTGCGGTCAACGATATTTGTGTACAGCGGTGCGTGTAAAACCAAAAGTCTGCATGGCATGTGTATTTGTATGATAGAAACAACATGGCGGAGCTGCGGTGGGAGCAGAATTGACAACTCGCACTGTTGTCGTAGAAATTAAGTACTTTTGTGCTAAAAATGTAGTTATACACACAGAAAACTGCAAATTGAATTTACTGTTGGATTGTTCAACAACTCAGATGGAGAAAAATATACGAAAAATGTGTGGCGTAGATGAATCGAGTAGACGAGGGGGATTTGCAGATTTTGCTCTCGAAGTGTTTTACATCGACTTCATTGAAGCGGGATGTTCACGAAAAGCCCTCTTCGTCATAAGAACTAAAGATCAGTGAGAAATGTTCCAGAAGAGCTCCTGCCAATGGCAGGTTAGTGTTTACGATCCTAGCCACCAGTATTTAAACAGTCTGCTTCGCTCTCTGTTGCTAAGACTTTAGCATAGTAGCAACTGACGAGGAAGGCTATAGTTCCGAAACTGCAGTCTTGCTTAAGAATTCTTAGCAGTCGCATAGACGACTGTTAAGCAAAAACTTAAGTAAATACCTACGAAGGAACAACAAGACATCGCGCTCTAGTTCAAAGACTCACTTATGTTAAGAAAAACTAAATGGGCTGTGTGAGCGCTAAGAGAATTATCTTGACTGACGCACGGTATATTTCTCCGAACTTGGTGTAGCTTTAGTTTAAGCTACAGCCTACAACTCAAATCTGAAGATCGCACTATCCGTGGAAATTCAAAATCCTCCAAACCACACTATAGAGCTGGGCCCAGAGTCATACTGACATGGCAGGAAATAATCACATTCACGGACAAAGAAACTTGCATGCATGCATGTAGGTATTCAGAAACAGTCATTTGGGAGAAAACCAAAACAACTAAAATCTCTATTCAGCCGTAATAAACAGAGGTCAAAGGATATAAAACACTTTACAACTGAAATCAAATCCTATCAGGGACGCCTACAAAAGCACAAACCACAGGAAATGATTACTCAGTATGCATGTAACAAACCGGCTTCATGACCTCTAAATATAAGACTTAGTGCGGCAAAAACAAGATTTACTCAGTCAAAGTTTAGAATGCTACAAGTCATGCACTGTGTAGTGCTGATAACCTTCGCGTGAGAGAAAAAACGAAAGAGAACCACTGTTTAAGCAGACTCTCAAGGTCACGTTTCACATTATTACGAGCTTATGAGTCGTGTTTGGCCTGTCAACGCTTATTTCTTACTACGCTCTTGAAACAATGAACATGATCCGTCCGACCAGACTGGGAAGAGTAAGAACACTTACAAGTCGGATGGCAGATTTCCTGCAGGCAGGAATGGCAGGAATGTTAAGTGGCAGGGACTAATCGCTATAAACCCGCTACTTGAAAGTTTTATTACTGTCTGAAATGATCCTGTTATCTTCAGAACATTTTTGTAAATCCTTGTGAATTTTTGTGTCTTTGTTGGGTCGTATTTAGAAGCCGTAATTTTGCGGATGCGAAGCGAAAAGAGGTGGTATGTATAGCACTGGGATTTTTTCCAAATTCTGCTAGTGGGAATGGGATTTGAACACTGGGAAGTGGGATTTCGAAAAAGAATGGGCTGGGAAATGCGACTGGTACCCCCCTTTCAGGACCCTCTTCGTAGGGACCAGCATTCAGTGATACAAAAATGACTTATTTGCAGGGTCGTGTCTCATTTGACGAAGATGGAAACAGACAAAGTCTTGTCCAGATTACTCAGAACAAACGTAAGTGAAGATTGAAATTGAACACGGATCTTTGGTCAAGAGAGTGGTTAAAGCGCCTCTGATCAATAATATGCTTAAAGGCGTAATATCATTAGAGGAGCAAGGATTAGAAAAGTCGGTTAGAGCGTGGACCTTCTATGCGGGAGTTTTGACCTTGATACCCAAGCGTGACCTCAAATCCTTGTTTCGACTTCTGTCCTGTTCGTTTAGCTTTAAGTAGCTTTTTAAAAATAGTCTTAGCACGAAGCAGTGATGAATAGAGGAGGTAAAACAAGCGAACCGCTGGCCTCAGGTTTGCCAGTTTAAGTACTGTTACTAGTAACCGACCCTTTGGCTTTTTATTATTAATAATAATTAATCGTCATTAATATATAATTGATAAATTATGTATACGTATGTTCTTAACTTATTTGTACTCTAGCCTGAAGGACGCGACTGATGTCTAATTAATAACTTGAATGAAAGAGAGAAAGGAACGCTTTCTTAAAGAGACTTTTATTGCTGATGGAAAGTTTTTTAAAAATGTTCACGCCAAAATAGTGTTCCTGGACCCTCTGTTACTCCTTTATCTTTAATTAATTGATCACATGAAGTTTCAGAACGAATTAATTGCAACCGAGCAATGACTTTGCGCTAAATAAGCAACAAATAACCCTGTTACAAATATGTCTTGTTACTTGTTCAATTTCTTAGGTGGCATGAAACACGTTGTTGCTAAGTTTGATGTCCGGGATCGAACGTTAACCCTTTGTAACGAGAGTTTTGTGTGGGAAGGTAAGAAGCTGCTATAATGCGTGATGGATGAGGTCTCAATGGGGTAGTAGCTATGACGGTTGGCGGAAATGTTAACCCTTTTTGGCGGTTGACGGTTAAATTTTAGGCCGTTTGACGGTTAACCTAATTGAAACCCTTGTGGATTCTTGCATCATCAAGCCGCCATATGGATCTGCATGAAAATCTTGTTTCCTTTCTATTTTATAAACATTCAGGCTTCGTGTGACTATGCAAATGTACATTTCATGCTTGTAAGCTCATTGTTTGCTCTATTTATTTTAGGTGGTCGTGTTCCAGCAGACGGTGTAACGATCATTCAAAAGGTGTCACAGGAAAGCTTTTACGTAACAGTCGTTTTCTGGGTTTTGTGCAGCTGTGGAATAATTTTCTGCTTGTGTTGTTTGATTCTGAACTTCATTTACCAAAGAAACAGGTAAGAAAGACATCAAAAGGCGTTGGAACAATGATTGGCGACTAATTGTCTGTGGATGTTCTTCCCTTTTTTTTTGGAACAAAATAGTTAGATAACTGTTCTTAAGCGCGTTGCCTCTCAATTGATAAAAATTATCTAATTGGTAGGGGACAGGTCTAGCAATACGGGAATTTCCGATGACAAACGTTGCCAGTATAAATTTCCACCCAAAGAATCGGCAGTTCACCTTCCAACAGTGACTCCTTTAGGGTTAAACTCCTCATGTCGATATTTTTGTCTTATAGAGAGCTCTGCGAATCGTTCAAGGCAGGGAAGAAACAAAAAGCTAAAACCCCTTAGATCGTTTTTGAAACAGTTTTGCATCATTCATTGGTACGGGGGGGTCTCCAACACTGAATTAAAAACGCATATTCCTACTATGATAGCCCGAGACAACAAAATGAGGGTGGATTCATTTGCAACATGCGCCTATAACTGTTGCATTTGGCCACCGGACCTTTTTATTGTTTTTAGCCTTAAGAACAATACAAAAATTTCAGCAGGCAAATGTGACAACTATACGAGTATGCAAATGATCCACCCTGAGTTAACGCAACATCAACATAAACTTTAATCTCTATGCAGCCAAGCACGAACTTGGACCCTGCCACGATGTCTCTGGTACACAAGAATTGATCACGTGACGCATGCAAGCCAAAAATAACATCATGATATTATAACAATTCCTGACCGGAAAAATCTCTGTTAAGATTAACTTGCAGCAAGCTAAAAACTCGAAATACTCGAACTACAAGAAGAATCGTACTTTTAGTTGATAAAGACTTTCTGCTTGACAATACAAAAATTCATTATTTTGACTGTGCATTTTTATGTAATATATCAAGCGCGAGACACAGTGTTTCATCACCAGATGAAACAATGAGAAGAGAGTTAAAAATACGACTCGCAGCGGAGTATTTTGACAAACTTCGAGGTGTTTTCATCTGGTGATGAAACACTGTGTCGAATGCTTGATATTACTTCTCAAACAAAATGGTTTTAGAAGGAGAAATTAATGATGCAAAAATGAGCAGTTTTTCATCTGATTTCCAAGCACTCATTAAACATTAATTTCTTTTGTAGTTTCTTTACGAATTATTAATGAGTTTGAGAAACTTTTTAACTTTTTTAATGGATTTCTGGTACTCAAATGAAAACTAAAATTTAGGCAGAAAGGACAAGGAAAGGAAGAAAGAAGAGGCATGCAAGAGACTATCTTTTTGCATGTTATTACAACGGCCTATAACCGCCGCCTTTTTTTGGGCAAACAGCCCCTACATTGACTCTTGTTTAAAACTCTCTACAACGGCCACTTTCATCTGACCTCAAGGTGGCCGCTGCTGGAGATTGATTAAGCGTGGGTTGCCTGTGGCACAGATATTCCGACCCTGTCAACTAAGAAAGGGAGGTTTTAGGAGTGGCATAGCCGCCTCTACGACGAGCGCTTAAGACGCGAGCCTCTAGGGGGTTTGAGAGCATGCTCCCCCGAGAAAATTTTAAGAAAAGTGCGTCTAAGCCAAAGGTTGGAATCCCTAGAACTGGCATAAACTACAAAAGACTCAGTGTTAATCTCTATTTATTCCACGTTAGCCTAATGTCCGTATATGTTACTACCATTACTTATTCATTTTGCAATGCAGTGGTAATTTACAATGGCGAAAAGAGTTTGGCACCATAAGCTGGAAACTAACCTGTCTTAATAACTGACATTAGTATAATTACATTGATGATTATCGAAAATAGAGCGCTATGATTGGCTAGGAGCTTCGCTTCATCCCGCTATAATCACCGCCCGGTGATTATAAATTGAAGGCTAGCAGTTTTCAAAATGGCAGCCAGATTTGGTGATGTTTCGGAGTCGGAAATTGATCAATAATTTATTTTCTCGAATAATCAAAAATGTAATTATACTAAAACAATTAGTCGCCTCAGGCGACGTGAATATCGGCGAATAGTCACCTCGACTTCTTCTCGGTGACTTTTCGCCGATATTCGCGTCGTCTGAGGCGACTAATTGTTAAATAGTCACAAAAACAGTCCAAAAAGGACCAAATGCACTAAAAACAGTAACTGCAATACAATGTCAATTACAGCGAAGCTAACGTTCTGCTAATTTTTCTCGTCACAGCTTTATAAGAATGTCATTTCCAAATTTCAACAATGTGTCAGTGATGGGATGCATTCTGTTCTACTTCGAACTGTTTCTATCAGCCTACAGCACCTCCATCTTTGCAACGTACCACTCTTCTCTCTGCTATGTAAGAACTGGCATAATTTAAACGCACTTAATATAGGAGGATTTTATTGCCTCAAGAGAAGACTGCTCTTTAAGAATGAAAGCTAGTTTTCATTAATGCAGGTACATGGGTGTTTAGTCTGGGAAGACTAACTAAAACTTCGGTATTCGTCCTTTTTTTGACAACCTTTTAATGCATTATTTAAATGAGAAAGATTCTACATGTGTAATTTATTGAGCCTTAAGATAATCGCAGTGTTTTCGGTGTAGCAACGCATCCTTTTCCATCTTTTGTAAAAAAAGCACCAATCCTGAATTGCTTTGTCCAGTGTTGTAATGTGTTAGAATCCAAAAGCTAAAACCCTCAAGAACGTATTTCGAATGTGAAGGTCACACGAATTTTTTTTAAGTGCGATTGGAAACATAAAACAGCTCTGGGATCAACGTCAGTTCTTGAATTCCTTGTCTGGATGTATTACAATTAAGCTCACTTCATTGTTCTGACTTCATTAATGTTAAACAGATTGATGTCTGCCTTCTCTGTTCTGGATTTACGTTGTTGTATGGTGGAATGTTTTTGAAAACGTGGAGAGTTTATAAAATCAGAGACGAGGTAGGGATAATAAATACCACCATACAATTACCACCACCATCACGATTATCAGTATCGTTATCAACATCATAATCATCATTTTTCGATGGTAATGTGTAGTTACGCTGTGTCCCACCACCACCAGTATTTTTAATTAGTAACAAAGGTGTGTTCCAATGGGACGGCCTGGATTACTATCAGTGATTCAGACATCATTCGGAGCATAGCACATAAAAGGAACCGCCGAATCCACCCTGGGAAAGGATTCATCGGTTCATTTGATGCAATACGATCCTGTTGATCTCGGATCACTGATCCTGATCCAAATCATTCCAAAGGAACGCATTCTTTATCTTTATTTTCGTGTTTTTACTTTTCTTCCAGCCTCTCCCTCTTTTAATGTTTAAAAAAGCTATCAAATGAATTTGAAAAACTAGGTGATGACCTGTTTATTAACATTGTTGTCGTCAATTTCTTTGTGATAATCTTTTCTTCTTACTTTTCTTAATCATTTTCTCAGTCATCATCATCATCATCATCATCATCATCAACATCATCATCATCATCTTCGTCATCATCATCATCATCACCATCGTCATCATCATCATCATCATCATCTTCGTCATCATCACTACCATCGCCATCATCTTCATCTGCCCCAATAAACATAACCATTACCACCCTGAGCAGCAAGATTAAAATGGTCAATTTTTTTAGGTTGCCGAGCTAAGTACAACAGGTCTTTTGCTCAGGATAGGTGCTGGCTGTCTTGTAGATGTAATTATTCTATCATGTTGGTCAGTTGTTGATCCAATGACGATACAACAACATTTAGAAATCAACAAGAAGGTAAATTCATAAAGCCACCACTGTCTTATGAAAAAGAAATTATATTTTTGTCTGGTAATACTACCCACTGAAAGTATTTTCACGTCCAAGTTCCGAGCCACTTTGCATCTTCTCTCTAATGTAAGACTATGGCTTTAGAAAGACCTAATTATTCCATATAGAAGTTATTTCTTATATTATATCAGCCGAAGCTCAATCAGGCTCTAACGGCTGGCCGCTTTTTATTGAGACCCATATGCCATTCTGACTTGATGTCAGAGAAGTGCAGTTGACATTGTCATACCCTCTTCTTCACTGCACCTTTCTTCGATTTGTTTTATTGTTATTAATTTGTCTTTGGAGTTTCTTGGGCATTTTGCCGGGTTGCCCTCACCTTTACTGGTCCACGTTATTAATTCAAGTCATGTACGATTCTCATGTCACAATTCTTGTTTCAGATACGTGATGACGACGACGACGTGACAGAACAGCTTATGATTAACACTTGTACCTGTAGTTCTCTGATGACCTGGGTGATGTTAATCTGCTGTTTAAAAGGAATTGTGTTGACATTTGGAGTATTTTTGTCCTGGGAGACAAGAAACGTCCATTGCTTGCAGCCAAATGATTCCAAAAACACCGGTTTGGCGGTGTATAACGTGTTCATTTTCTCATGTCTTGCTCTTGTGGTCATGTTAGTGGAAACGTACCGTCCCATTAAAATCCTGATTGAAAGAGCGATCGTGTTTGTAGGAACAACGTCTACCATTTGTCTCTTGTTCCTACCAAAAGTAAGGAAAAATTTTAGTATTTCAGCTACATTTTGATGTAGATTACCGTGAACTGCGCTTATAAGCCCTCCCCCCCAGTTATAGGCCCATGCAGTGGCGGATCCAGGGGAGGGGTCCGGGAGGCCCAGCCTCCCTTGTTTTTTGACCAAAATGAGGCCCGAAGAGCCAAAAAAAATTTTTGGAGACCGGGCCCCCCTTAACTCAAGGTCTGGATGACCGGGCCCATCCCCCTTATCTGAAGGTCTTGGATCCGCCACTGCCATGTATCCTTAAACAACAACAACAAAAAAATACATCTAAGTATCCAAGTCCCCCCTCAATCCCCCTCTAGCTTCTGTTTCAAATGTACTGAAATGAATCCCATTTGCGTGTATCATGAAGTTTTGAAGCTTAATGTTTAAAAACCAGTAAATGATATTGGTATTTTGATCAGCAATGATAGCTTGTCTTGAGACCCTTTTTCTATTCTGGTTATACGAATATATGCCCCTCCGTTTATAAGCCTTCCTAAGACCACCAGCCGAGGGGTTACGAGCAAATATGCTAAAAAGACTCTATGAATAAAACAAGGAGACAAATCAAGATGCATGTTATGTATTTTTATTGCTAAAATCTCCAAACAAACCGTAATAATACTTCTGTCACGCAATTATTTACACTCTTGAGCTTAAGAGACTTGTGGGTTTATTGGGAAACCACCCCTGTTATAATTGTAATTAATTGTAAATAATTAAATCTTTTACAAACATTTTCTTAATTTCCTTCACAGATTACCTACTTTGTGCAAAATAGTCCGGTACAAGTTGTTACGGAACTGAGTGACTTCGAAATGCGAGAGTTAACCGGACAGACAATATTTATACCCAAGCAGTAGATGAAACTACCAATTTTTTAATTACCAATCAAAATTGATTTAGGCTGATGATCCAGAGACCTAACAACGACGAAACAGATGTTCCAGGCTTTTACTTGCGGAGAGAAAATGATTGTGCGCATGCTTAAAACTAGCTTGGGTTTTTGTTATGGTTATTATATTTTGCCAAGGTTAAACGTTTAGTAGATAGCCTGTGACGAGCTACCCGCCCATGTATACTCTATGCCACAATGGGATATGGCACTGCTGGAGACCTTTGACGTCATTCAGTATGCTTGTCACCTTGGATTTTACCGACTGAAACTTCATATTTACCATAAATCCTCTATTAAGTCCCCCCTCTCAAATAAGCCCCCCCCTTTTCACAGAAGGAAAGTTAGTAAGCCCCCCTCTCTGTTAACCCCCCCCACCCTCCTTTCCATCCTTCACAGACAATTAACGTGGACTGATCAGTTATGGTTTATTCAGGCTGGAAATTCATATTGTTCTTGGTCTTCGGCAACATGGCCTCCAACCTCATGTGCTTAACTTTTTCAACTTTACGCTCTAGTTATCTGTGGAGAATTGTTACCATTTTCTTATTGTTAGAAAAAGCAGTATAATGCCCGGGAACCACAAGTCCGTGCTCGAAAAACCTTGCTCCCGTTGATGCGTTTCGGTAAATTAAATAAGCCCCCCCTCAAAAGTGCTTGAAAAAATAAGCACCCCGGGGCGCTTAATAGAGGATTTACGGTGTGCAACAGTTCAAAATCTAAGCTTCTGTTATGTCTGAAATAAAGAAAACAGATATTTTAAAAGCTCGCCTGTTTGCTTATAAAATGGCTATTGAGACTTTGTGTAACTATGATACAATTCTTTATTTTACACTATATATTAAGGCATTTACACAACTTGCATACAAGTAGTAGAGAAACGAAATTAGATCATAAGTAATCATTAGGCTAAAAAGTGATAATGTACATATGTGTGCACGCAGTGTTCAAAGTAGCAAGAGCTCTCTAGTTGAACACCGTCACGTTCAGAAAAATAAATTGCAGCAGAAAAGAAGAGAGACAAAAAAAACTCAAATTACATCAGGGAGCATGCAAAGTAAGATTAAGTTTGGTTAATTGAGGTGGCCCAAAACAGTGTAACCGATTTCTATGTTTGGCATCCTAAATAAAAAAGGTCGATCTTTAAGAAATGTTACTGTATTTTTGGAGGCGCCGCTAAAAAGTCGCAAAATCTGGAAAGCCATTTGAATGCAAACGATGAACGACGCTGTTGTTGATTGGTTATACTTCCACATGTGAAAATAGTTGTAGGCCATTCTGATTGGCTGTGTAGGCTAAATAAGGCGTTTAAATTTCTACAAAAAAGCTTTACGAAACAAAATGTAATTGAAAGCTCTGGCTTTAAGACATTTTGAAAAAAATTCCTTTTTTATGGGGGGGGGGGGAGCCGGGGGGCGTTTTAGCGGAGCATTTACACTCCCATGTTTAAGAACGTTTTGGTCAGTAAATGTCTTTACATCAAAGCGGAATTTGCGCCACACTTGAAATCATTTAAGGAATGACTTAGATGAGTTAGAAATTAAGATAGGTGCTATATGTACTGTTCAGTTAACTTTCGATAACTCGAACAAGCGGATCCGGGTGGAAAGTTCGGATCCCCTTTACCCCTACACTTGAGGATGAACTTTTAATTGCGCAAGTTGTACACCCCTCAACAAATTTCCTGGATCTCCTCCATAAATACTGATTTTAGGTAGCTCTCCGTACTCCGCCCTGAGGAGCTACGCGCCTTTGGTCGACGTCCTGGAGTTCTATCAATCTTTAGTTAGTTTTTTAAATCTATAAGTATCAATCATAATTATTACATATAAAAAGTAGTTCTCTGAGAGGACATGAGCTTATAGGCAATGAATAGTCTGTGCAAAATCCAGGAGCTTGCAAAACAAAATGGTTTTTGAAGGCAGTCACATTGTGTAGCGACTTCTAATCGGCACCTGACACTTTTTGTCACTGGTTGTTACGTGCTATGAGTACTTTATAGCACGTAAGGTTGCTTCAGCGGCCACAGGTAAAGTTAAAACGTTCAGAGATACGGTTCTGTGACTATTGTAATTTCTTGCCAAGATTTGCCGTATTCACACTGGAGACAGATTATCCGTCTGAGACGGGTTATCCGTTGGATAATTCGCCTCACATGATAATACGTCCTAATTTGAAAATAGAACGGTCTTAATTTCGGATGGACATTCCACATTGACTGCTGGAATTGTCTATTGTTTTAAGCCTAAAAAGAATGATATAATAAAAAAACTCCAACGGGCAAATGTGACAGCTATACGCGTATGTTGCAAATGAATCCACCCTTAGACCACCGCTCATTTGTTTGCTTCCCACGAAATTCGTCTCCTTTGTTTTTTATCTTTTGCTCTTGCTTTTTCTCTGTTCTCCACGTCAGTGTAGACATTAATACGAAGGAAGTCGAAAACAGACTCGGCTTTGTTGTTGCTTTTTCTCTCAAAAAGTCTGGAAGCCATTTACTGCCTAAAACGCGCGGATGCTTGAAATGCTAAATCTAACCCAGGCCTACATGAAGGGTGGACGTAGGTACGATTTTCTTAGATAACCAAATTTTTCTACCCATGGCGCTCCTCTACGCTCGCGTCGCGCGCGCGAGGGCCCCGCTAGAACCCTCATTTCATAAGCTATTTAAATTAATAGCGATTTTGCACTTAATTTGAAGAAGCAAACAAGTGTAATCCGCAACTAAAGAAACTTCTAAAACTGCATTTCTAATTATAACAATTATTTAAGGAGACTAAGAATGATGTGAGTAATAATGCAAGGAGAGGTGGACATTACGGCCTAACGTCTTCCGAGCTCTGCATAATTCATTGCACCATACGAAAGCCGGATTCAAATGTTTTCTCAAGCACAGTTTTTCATGACGTCAATCGCGGATAATTTGCTGCCTATATACCGTGTGGCACGAGATTTTTGCGGGTTCTAATTTTCGCGATTTTTCTCGCAAATAAAAATTACCGCAAAAAATTGTAAACATTAACATTAGAGTAAACATGAAATTCGCTACACAAAAATACAGTACCAAGAGATCGTGCCTGTTCAATCACAACTTGCCTCTTTCATTTAGAAACAAAACGGTATATAAGGAATTACTGGTTTTACATAGAGTACGCATACCGTACTATTGTTTGATAATATGTATTTCTATTAATAATAATTAATAATAATTTACATTTATATAGCGCAAACCTCTATATGAATATATTCGGTTGCGCTTTACAATATTGTTATATTAAATTTATGTTAAAGGTGACTAAAGCATGAGCAACTATTAAAAACTACAATAAAAAGTATTAAAAACTATAAATAAAAATAAATAAATAAAAGCCAACAATTAAATCTATTTAAAAGCTAAATTGAAAAAATGAGTTTTAACAGCAGTCTTAAAAGTGTCCAATGTCTTCATGTTGCGAATTTCCGAAGGTAATGCATTCCAGAGATAAGGTGCAGCTGACTGGAATGCACGATCGCCAAGAGTTGGATGGGTCTTAATGCATGGCAACTCGAGGAATATAGACTCATTTGACCTTAGAGAGTACTTGGATTGCTTTTTGGTAGTAATGAAATCAACTAGATAATTAGGAGCTTGACCATATAAGCACTTAAATGTCAAAAGTAGAATCTTAAACTTTATACGGTAACTTATTGGAAGCCAATGAAGGTGGAAAAGCAATGGTGTAACATGGCAGAATCTAGGTGTTCCGGTGACCAACCGAGCCGCGGCATTCTGTATCCGTTGGAGTTTCATGATATGTGAATTCGGGAGGCCATATAGTAGACTGTTACAATAATCTATTCTACTGGTGATAAAAGCATGAACTAATGATTCGGTGACTGAACGACTTAAATATTTCCTAATTCTACGCATGTTATAAAGATAATTGAAAGCGGATGAGCAAGTTTTGTTGATATGACTTAGCATACTCATTTTAGAATCAAACCAAGCTCCTAGGTT